CATTATTTTAGCAGCTATCTGATTAGAACTGCGAAGCACGTTAGGAGAAATCGTCTCGGTAAGTAAAGCCAGGCTAGCTAGTTTAGTTCTTCATTAACCTTTCCATCTGTTGTCTATTTTCAACTTAGCCTAGCACAGCCTAAGCTTAGCTAGTCTTTAGACCTGGAATAATATGTCTTTCAAATTAGTTGCTACGTTTTACAGGAGGTTAATGTTTTTGTACGTTATGGCGACAAGTTAGGCCTTCATAGATTAACGGTGTACGTTTTTATTGCTATTTTCATCCGTAACTTCTGCCCTGAAGCGTATGTTAATCGGGAGAATGACTGCTTGTCATTGTGTTTCATATAGATGGATGTTCTCTATATGGCTGCCATCATCAAAATTAAGCAAATGAGCATGTGATTTAACACTGTGGCTAACAGCATATGATCTGGCCCAGTGGAGGAAGACAACGTCAAACTGGGGTAAGAATAAATGATAGTTATCCTATTTTGGGTCAGCGCTATAAAGTGAGATATCTTTACATGTAAACCTCAATAAATTCAATATACCTGGAAAGCTTATTTATTTTAGAGATTCAGTTTTGGTGATGTTGTAATTTACTGAATACAGTCCTGTGTTATCTTTCTTTTAGGTAAACAGTTTCACTCTGTTTGATAAGTAGTTAATAGCCATGACTGCAAGGAAGTCCCTGCTTAAAGTAATCTTGCTTGGTGATGGTGGCGTTGGAAAGAGCTCCATAATGAATCGGTACGTCACCAACAAGTTTGATGCCCACCTCTTCCATACTATTGGTGTCGAGTTCCTAAACAAGACCCTCGAGGTGGACGGGAATCAGGTAACCCTACAGATCTGGGACACTGCCGGCCAAGAGCGCTTTCGCAGCCTGAGGACTCCTTTTTATCGTGGCTCCGATTGCTGTCTGCTAACCTTCAGCGTGGATGATAACCAGAGTTTTCTCAACTTGAGCAACTGGAAGAAAGAGTTCATCTACTATGCTGATGTCAAGGAGCCTGAGAACTTCCCATTTGTGGTATTGGGCAACAAAGTGGACGTGACAGAGAGGCAGGTGTCTACCGAGGAAGCTCAGATGTGGTGCCAGGAAAATGGTGACTACCCGTACTTTGAGACCAGCGCCAAGGATGCCACAAATGTAGCTGTGGCTTTTGAGGAAGCGGTCCACAGAGCGCTGGCTGCAGATGACAAAGCGGATCACCTCATCCCCACAGACACGGTCAAGCTCCACAGAAAGCCCCGCTCTGCTACTTCTTGCTGTTCATAAAATCCTGAAGCTATCACTAATAATCCTCTGATATGCCTGTCATGTTTTGAGGCTGTAGGCATAATATGCTGTAGTAATAAATTATGCTACTAGCTTTTTTTTTTTTTTAATTATTATTGTTATTTCTCCAAGGTTCATTGATCCCGACACAAGAAACACTAACTCCATTCATGACCCATTACAAATAAACTTAAGGAACTTTTGCATTGATTTAGCTTTGGCATGTTTTAAAATTCTTTATGCATTAAAATATAGTAAATGTTCCAGTTTTCTGCCGCCATAATGACACACACTGCTTAGATGTGAGTGCAAAATATTATCGGGCTTCCAAATGTGATTGTGCAACACAATTGCAGAGTCTAATTGCATCATATTAAAATCATTTGTATCACCCAATAACTTTCTAATGATTATGAATGATCTAAATCCCGTCTTTAGAAAAGCTAACCACAGAGACGTTTGATTACTGCCCCTTAAAACTGTGTAATGTATTTGCATCATAAATAAATTAAAGCTGTGTTGGAGAAACTGTCATGAACATGTTTCCTTTTGGGAATAAACTTAAAGAATAACTTGCATGACAAATTTGAGCCTTCAAGTTTCTGCAAATCTTTGTGTTCTGAAGCCTAGATGATGTTCACATTAGATTTTTTTTTTTTTTGTAAATATGAAAGTTTTTTTTTGGCTCCATTTTAAAAACTAAACCTCTATTGAAGTTCTTAGTCAAAATATATATGACCAAAACTAATATAGAAAGTTAATGTTTGTATAGAGGGCCATAATTCAACAAATAATGTGTCAAATATTTATGTGGTACTTTAAAACTGGAATAAACACAATAAATTTGAATTTTTATCTAAAGGTCTCCAATTTTTAAAACACAAATTATTCAATCTTAAACATTTTAGGTGTTTTTTCATTGTTTGCAATGCAACAATCCATCACAAAATAATTTAAAATGTTATCGTGGATCATCAATCTGACTCGCAAGATGTGATCACAATAATCTACACACCATTTTTGACTATATACCAATGAACTTTTCTATTGCATTGCCAGCTGACTTTGATGGATAAAGTGTACTGATAAAGTACATTCAGGATGTGCTGCAACTATTACATGTGTGTTATATAATTTCCATTTTTGACTTAATTTTTTTTTTTTAGAGACATTAAAGGCAAATTTTAAATGTATATATTGTCAGTGTTGGACGTTATCAGATAGGTATTTAAAATTAGACACAATCGGCTTGGTTTGATCAGCCTGTTAGTAGCATGAATATTAACTGCTTACAAGTTAGTTTATTGTTCTGGAGATTAAACTAAAATATCTTCCTGGGGAGATCTAATTTGTTTGTGCTGTCTTGATTTTGCTATAATAATGCATATAATAAAAGTTATTCCAAAGTAGAAAAAAAAATCTCACATTTAAAATAAAATCTCTATCATTTTGTACAAATTTCTTTTAGCCATATTTTTTATTTAATGCTACAGAAAAAGAACAGACAAGCATTTTTAGATTTTTATATATACAATGAGAAGAATACGTTCAGATCTTGGTGTGGCATGATTAACTTAGGAGATGTTTCTTTCCAAGAAACTGGACTTTTCGCTCAAATGCAGTCGAGCGAATCGGGGCGTTGATTTCATAGAAAGGATTCATTGCAAACTGGAAGATAAAACATAATTATAAGACAGTCAGTCTACCAAATTAGGGTTAATAGAGTCACACAGAACACAACTCACCTTAATGTATAAATCATACACATCGTTAAAAAAGTTCTTGATTCCATCTTCTTGTCGAACGTCGTGCAGCATGATGAATCTTATTTGTATGGCAGTTAATTAAAGAAAATAAACCAAGGCAAATGTGATAAACATGCAAATAAAAAAGGTAAAAGACACAACTATTATGTTGTTTAATATAGCGGTTATCAACATGCCTGGCACCACTTAGATACGTTGTGTCCAATGAATGGAAAAAGATGGACGTTTTGCGTTTCTGAGTAAAAAAAAACAAAAAAAAAACATTTACCAGCTACACTAAAAACTGTTTTTAAATATTAAACTTAGAAAAAAAAAATAGATCATTCACAAAAGGATATGTCCTGCTGTGACGAAGGCCGAGACAAACCACTCGTTGAACTTGTCCACAGTTTTTAGGTACATGCTGTTGGACAGCCACATGTTCTCGTCCACCAAGTCTAGGGCAGCGTGTGCGATGAACTGGTTGAGGTGACGATGGTCGTCCTGTGGTCAATGAAGCACATCTTGTAAATGAGGATCATGAATACAAAAAGTTCTAATGAATCTTGAAAAGTATGAGAACGTAGCAATCAGCTTTATGAGAGACTGTTAGAAGGGTTAGCTCAACTGCAAAGCATGCAGAGCTGTATCTATGTTTATAACTTGTAGAAAAGAACCTTGTACTGTACAAAAAGGAAACGAGTGATTAAGACAAGTTATGACAACGTTCTATTACTTTTTTTAAAGTTTCTTGCTGTGCACCTTCTAGATGCAGAGCTTGTAGATTACAACGTGTTTAATAAACTAATAAGCTATTAAAAAGGATGTTTAATAATGAAAATAAGCAACAAAAAATGTGGAACTTTCTGTTCAGTTTTATGAAAGCTGCAGCTTTTTGAAATACAAACTGTTAGACACTTGAACAGTTAGTGGCATCCGATGTCTGCTTGATGCAAAGAGAGATTCCAAATCACAACCATCACATAAGATGTTTGTTTTAAGTTTCAGGGTTGGAGCAATGTTTTAATACACCTAAAAGGCAGACCAAAAAATACTTAAAAAAAAAAAAAGGGAAGAAAAACAGTTGGACTTTGTTTTGCATAATTACTTTCAAACGCATCTCAGGAAGTTATTGCTAATTTTTTTTTCGGTATTTCACGCCAAGTCCATCTCCGCAGCTGCAGCTGGACAATGGTATATTTCGAATATTTTTTTTTTTCTGTTCACTTAGTAACTAACATGTTAATGTCAGAATGTTCACATTTGTCCAACTCGGTTACTGCATGTTTTAAAAGTATACAAGTTTTCCATATCAGATTTGTTTTTCAGTTGAATTGCCCAGAACAAACGTCACATATCACCACAAAAATACATTGTTATTACACCTCGGATAGCCAGGTACCGTCATTTTGATACTTAACAAAATTGTCTGAATTTACTATCTATAATATATTTTAGTGAGTCTTATTAAAAATATTTCTGTTTAAGGAAGTTAGCATATTTTTTAAGGGATGAGTGCACTTACTACCTTTGATTCAGATTTCCCGGTAGGTAAAAACTCCATCTCAAACACAGGATTGTCATGATGACCGACCATAACAAAGTAAAAGCTTCCCGACATCGTATAGTTATCTTCTTAGCAAATCAATAGATGCCCTGTAGTTAATGAAAAACAAACAAAATCAAATAAATGATCTTTAGAGACATACGAAATGACGTGTATACATTTGAACTAAACAGACAACACAAGAGATTCTTTAAGGGATTGTTTCGCTATCAAAGTAAACAGGATCCAAATTAAGGTCCAAAGGAAAATTGAAGACGTATATTTTAAATACCCCAGTTTTTCTTTACCCGTTGAACTCACTTCCTGAAGATGTGAAAGCGTAGTCGCAAAAAGATGACGACATTAAAAAAAAAAAAACGTTAGCTACCCATTTAAATTTATTTTGTCTTTTTTGGAATTTTTTTGGAGCATACTATTTTTGAAATTACATTACTAAATTGGGTCTGTGTAAAATTCTGCACGGATAAATGTGATATATCGAGAGCTATTTAAAAAATTAAAGGATTTATATAAGTTGCGTCATAGATGTGCGCCTGCCTGCTGCAGAATTTCCGTTGGCGAATTTAAATGTTTTGGGTTTACATCTTTAAAGGGAGCGGGTCGATTGTTTTGAGTTGTACAGTAACTGAAAAACAAATATATTTCTCTTTCGTCTGTTCGGGAATTAGGTTTTAAGAATAGTTAAGCTACTCTTCTACAAGCTGAGAAATTTGTCGATATTGAGGGATTTTCTTATTTTTTTTTTGTAATCGTTATGTCCTCGTCCAAGGAGGATGCGTTATCCCCAGAAGAGCTGAGGAAAAGACTCTATCAAACATTTAAAAAAAACGGAGTGCTTGACACACTAAAAGTAAGTAACATTAACCTCAGAGAGGCCACATAACGTCGTCTTCGTAGACGTGTGGTCACTTTATTCACTAATGCACCTTGTTCCTCTTCTCCTTTGGTTCTGATCCAGGTGCAGCTGAGGAATCAGCTCATCCAGGAGTTGAAGAGTCCACATTCCAAGGGACAAAATCCAGCTCTCAGGCCCCCACACGGGACATCCGATACTCTTTTACTTTCAGCTTGCAACACTATAGTAGCCGATCACCTCCGTACTTTAGGGTATGAGTACACACTTTCTGTATTCTGCCCCGAGAGTGGTGTGTGTAAGGACAAGGTGTGTATGACTGCTTTTATTCCCTTCTGCAGTTTTATGGTGATTCACAACCACCAATGTATTCTACGTGGTTTTTAGTTATTTACAAATAAAATTCTGACATTTGCCTTGCCTTTGCATTCAGCATCCCTTTAGTCTGACGCCTCTAAATAAAATCCAATGCAACAAACTGACTTCATAAATGGAGTACTTGATATTTTAGGTTCAACGATGCTATCCTTTCAACCAGATTTACCTTGCAACCAAATAAGTATTGACACCAGAGGCCTGAATGCAAATGCAAGTCACACTTTGTTATTTTATTTATTGATGTTTTTTAAATCTTTCATCATTTTACAATTATGTGGTAGAGTATACTGAATTTTGTAGCTGTAATGACAATTCTGCTCAATTCTGGCAGATTCTCAAGAAAGAAGACCTTCTTCAGATTCTTAAATTTAACCCTTCGTCAGCCTCTTTCACATCTATGGTGATTATTAATGTGATTCAAACCACAGTACATGTAAGATGTAATCAAATTAATTAATAATGAAGCTGTTTTGTAATATTAACATTATCAATTTTAAACAGCTAAATAAAGAAGACGGTGATAAAGGTACGTTCAGTAAGTTTGTCTTCCATTCAAACTTCTTCTACATCCAAGTCTTCTCGTCAGCATTAAACGTGTCTTGCAGGGCTCCTGTTCAGTCTTTTAACAAACCTGACACACCATTCAACACACAACCTCCGTAATGATGTCGACACTCAGACAACCAACTTAGCAAGTTATGGCGAGTCCCTGGGTAAGGAAGAACTTGTATACAAAACTGCCTTTTTCATTGTATTCAAGTACTTATCATTTAGTGTTAACCACAGTTATTTTCCTTTCTGTTCCCAGTTGACAAGATGAAAATGATTGATAGACAATACGAGAACTCCAGTTTAGGTGAAGACAAAATGTTTCCACTCCAGTCAAAGCTGGCTGCATATAAAAAAGAGATTGAAGCACAGAAGGAGGCAGAAATGAACACAAAGGTACACGCATATGAACATGTAGAATGACATTTAATCCCCTGGGTTGTTTTTGTTTTATATCATTTATGCTGTTGCATTGCGTCATTTTTGATTTTTTTTTCTTCAGCTGAAACATTTCAAAGACGTTGAAATCGCAAAGGTCAGAATGGATGAAAAAGCCAAGTTTAATCAGGAACTTGAAAAGCTGAAGCAAGAACTGGAGAGGACTTATGAAATGAGGGCAAAGGCACTGATGGACCGAGAGAAAAATGCCATAGAGCGGCTGCAAAAACAGCAAGAGGTAAGATACTTATAATAACTTGTTTTTCTCTGCACGTTCTCTTCAAATACTTAAAATGCTTGGCCAGGCTTTTTAGAAGCTTGGTTAATATTTTTTCACCAGTGATAATTTCAGGCTAAGATAATTATGAAACAGTGTTCCACATAGACCAGAAACTCCAGTGTTGACAAAAAAAAAAAAAAAAAACAATATTAGAATTAGTGGATGTGCACATTGGGGTTTGTGGGAGCGGAGATAAAAAAGGAAATGTCCGCAGATTTATCTGAGAAGACAACAAGAACGTCATCAATATATCAAGATGTCTTTCTCTGGTTAAAAGAGAATGATTGCTGACTTTTGAAACCTTGACTTCTAAGTTATTGACTTTAGATATCGAAACGTTCAATATTCTTAAATATTTCCAAATCTGCAGACTTTGTTTAATTCTTCTGACTATTAGTGTAAACAGTCTTTAACGACTGTGTTATTCTTAGATTGAAGAAAAAAATGTCTACATGCAGAGACAGTCACTGCTGAAAGAAATCGAAACGCTGCGCAGCAGAGAAAATGAGTTGAGGATGAGAATGGAGGCTTTTGAAAAGTAAGATATTTTTTAAAGACCTTTTTTTTTAAAACTAATTTCTTTTCAGTCACTGATTCATTGTTTTGTTAAATGTCAATGTCAGGTCCTGTGAAATTTACGCAGAGAAGATGAGAGCTACTGAAGAGTTGTTGAGGAGGAGAGAACTGGGTGTAAGGACAATGGAGGACACATATGACCAGAAACTGAAGAATGAACTTTCAAGGTTTTTGTTGTTTTTTTTTATTTAAGAAAAAAAAAAACACTCTGGCTTTGTTTGGGTCACTTAAAGTCCAACAAAAGGGAGCTCCTAAATTTAAGTTGGTATTTTCTTAAGTTTAATATTGCTCTCAGATGATGTCACTGTTGGGTTGACTTGAGGTAATATTGTTACCTTATATGAACCATCACTCATCTTGAACTTTATCAGCTAAAATCAAATTATGCTGAAATTGTAATCTAATAACTTACACAGAAATCTATTTTCTTTGCTATGAACACTTTTGGTATTAAAAGCTAATGCAGTTCCAGTCACAAGTTTACATGAATCACCAACAAAGATTTCATAACAATTTGGTGCCTTAAAATTCAACTAACATTAAGCAATCCTATTAAAAAAATAGTGGACTATATGTCCACAATTAATGTAGAAGCTGGGTCTGTTCCTGGAAACCAACCAATTTACATCAACTTTAACATTTTTGGCAAAAAGAGAGATCAAATATCCAGCCAGACCTACGCCAGAAGCTTGCAGATGACTTCAGAAAGCTTGTGGTTTTTCTATATCTTGCTAAGAAACATCTAACCAAATATTTAGCTGAGGTGTGTTCATTTATTTGAACTTTATATAAATTAAACCTGAGGAAATTATAGAAAATCCACAATAAATTCTAAGTTTGCACCTAATTATAGTCTTTGAAGCTTGTTGAGGTTGTATGTTGACTTATCAGCCCTCCAAGAAAAAAAAAAAAAAGAAGAGTTCAAATAAATACTGAGAAGATCACATAAATAATCTTTTTGTGAAATTCTGAAGTGATACTGTAAATGTATCGCTATCTGGGATAGTAGAAATGTGGCTTTTCTATTATAGTGTCAGGAACCGCTGACTTGACTATGTGCTAAACTGATTTTTATTCATCTTTGTCACTGATTGATCTCCTGCTTTCTATGATTCCAGTTACCAGCTTGAGCTGAAGGAGGAATTTCTTAGAAGAACAGAAAAACTCACAGAAAGTGAGAACCGAAACAAAGGCAAGCATTTCACTTCCTGGAGGAAAAAAAAAAAAAATGACCCGCTTGATGATGAATTCATTTTCACAATGTTCACAACATTTTTATTTTTCCAGTGGAAACGACTCGAATCCAAAAGGAGTCTGATTTGATTGATGCCAGACTCGAAGAGCACAACAGAGCGTGCACAGAGCTGAAAAGACTTCAGGTGATAGTTTATTCAGCCAGTATTTAATTTGAAATATTTTTGGTTATGCCTACTACACTTTATTGGAGAAGATTGACTGCCACAGGGTGGCTTATTGAAGTCTTTTCCAAGTTCTATTTTCATATTCCACCCATTGTTTGTTTTCCCAGGTTGAGCTAGAAACCGCACAGCAGCAGATATCGCTGCTGACTCAACAGAAGGAGCTACTAAAAGAACGACTGGAGAGCACGAGCGACTATTCCCGCTTGAAACTGGAGAAAACGGAGCTGCTGGGACAGCTGCAGCTGCTGAAGAAACAGCTGGAAGAAGCACAGGGAGAGAACCAGCGGCTCCATGCAGGTGAAGGGAGGCCGCCGCATTTCTAACGAATATGAAACGGCTTCTGTTTCCTTCATATCCATATCAGCTGTTCGTCAAACAAGGTGCACATACACATTCTGTTAATGAGATGTATGCAGGTTTTTCTTCACCGATTAATCTAGTTCCTCTCTTATACTGAGTGTCTGTGGCTCCGTTTAGTATGAGCTTCGGCGTGCTGTGAAATGTTCAGTCCGTCCAGTCTGTCTCTCTGCCTCAGCCTGAGACTAATTGAGTGAGCCTGGTCTTCCAGTGTGGGGCCTCTTTGGATGACCTGTAGCTTCGCAGACTGTCTGTGAAGGAAAGCCATTAAAACTGTAAGCGGAGACAGAAAGCTCTGTTTACCAGCAGCAAACAAAAAAATTTTTCTTCTCTCTGAGGGAGACCGAATTCACCCTGTTTAATAAGTGGAAAAAAAAAATGTGTTGGTTTACTTCTCTGTCGGTAACACAAACACAGTAGCCCGAGTTCTGTAGAAACTCTGAGTGTGGTAGAAATTGGACATATTTAGTTAAAAAGAAATTCTATAGTGCCTTTTCAAAATACTCTTATATC